TTTAATTACAAGATTAGCTTTGTTTCTTTTTGTTGCACTCAAACTTGTTAATTTTACTCGTTCTAAATTTAAATAAAGAAGATTTAATCCTAATGGATATAATGAATCAACAGACAAAATAATTCCTCCTAATTTCTCTTGTTCCACAGTCAAATTCTTTTTTAGAGATTCATTATAATCTATGCCCTGAATATCTAAAGATATTAAATCTGTAAAACGTTGAAATGTTGTAGACTGTAAATGAATCTCAAAGTTACCCAAGCCAGATTGAAGAATTGTAAACACCTAAAACAAAAATTTCAATTATATATATATATATATATATATATCATTTTCAAATATTATAAAATTACATTCAAATTCATAATATCAACCTGAATATCTGATGGAAGCTTATCCAAAAGTTCTTCATATTCTTCGGCAATAACACAAATTGCTACTTTCAAAAATTCGGGAATCATAGAATGATCAATGTTTAATCCAAGTTCAAACTTAGCATCGTTACTTAAGTTCTATTAAGAATAAAATAATATTACATTTCAAAAAGAAAAATATAACTATATTTTCATACCTGATCTTGATTTGTTTTTATCCATCGATGTAAAGGTAAATCAACAAATTTTTGTACTTCACATGAACAACCTGGTGGACATTTTACTTCCCAAATATCGCCGATATCGATTATTTGTCCAAAGCACTCATTCTAAACATATATTTGTTTATTAATCTATTATTGAATTAAATTTACATATAAAGTCACTTTTAAGAATCTCTATTATAAAGAATATATATACGAGATATGAGAAAAATAATCTTTTTATCTTACACTTCTTCAGTTCAAATAAAGAAAAAAATTATGTACCAGCAAAGTGAAGACAAGTATTAGAATAACCATCATAATCAATTAATTAAAATTTGAGAATTGAAGAAAAGCAGATTAAAACCAATAATGGTATGATGGTTTGAAGGAAACTGAATTTTGTTAATCGTTATCTGTCTGCCTTGATGTGCCATATCAAACAGGATGCCTCCTATCTAGCAACCTACACATACTATTTTTGCTTTATAATTATAAATAATATTCCCTCATGATGCTTTAATTATATATATTCAGGTGGAACTTGATCTTCCTATTAATTCCATAAATATTTTTTATGATATATTATTTTTATGAAATATTATATGTAAATATTATTTGTATTTTTAAGTTATCTCATAAAATATTCAATGCAGATAATATTTATATTTAGCTAACATTTTTTTAAATCTAATTATCAGATGTTCCTGCCAGTGGAATGTATTTTATGACATATGAGTGTTTGAAAAAGTGGATGTCTTCTGAAGAAGGTAAACTAGGAATACTTCAAACAATTATGGCTGGTGGTTTTGCTGGTATTACAAATTGGATTGTTGGAATGCCACCTGATGTATTAAAAAGTCGTTTACAAAGTGGTATATATTGTATTTTTTTTTCTATTCTAATTTATTATTTAATTAATTATTAATTTTTAAATTTTCAAATAATATAAGCTAGTTAAAAGAAATTATTGAAAAAATTAATTAAAATTTTATATTATTTACATTATTTAGCTCCAGATAATACTTTTAAAAACGGAATTCGAGATGTTTTTATAATTTTAATGAAAGAAGAAGGACCAAAGGCATTATATAAAGGATGTGTGCCTGTGATGCTTCGTGCATTTCCAGCAAATGCAGCATGTTTTCTTGGATTTGAGATTGCTATGAATTTCTTGAATTGGGTACTGTGATATGTATAATTTTGTATATAGTAAGTTTTTAAGAAAGAAAGGTAGTAATTCTATTGTCAATTAAATGTTAAATTAGTAAATTTAGTATATTTGTAAAGTATTCTATATTTCTAAATCAAAGATAATAATACATTTTTATATATTATTCATGTGTTATAGAATGTATAATGAATTTGCAATGATGTTATCTATTTTTTTATAATTATTTATGCTATATAAATTATTTTTTAGATATAGTTCATATAATATGTAATAATCTTTATATCATCTTTTTATATTGTTGAATCTATATTTTATAATTTATAATATATTTTTTATAAGAATAAATAAATAATTGATTTAAAGCATTATTATTAATTGCAAAATTTTTTCCGATTTATTTTTTTAAAGAACTTTAAAGAAAAAAAAATTAAAATGAATATTTATTTTTATAATTTTTATAATTTTAATAATTTTCAATAAACATAATAATCATAACATATAAAAATATATAATATAATATTTAAAAATCTATAAAAATTATTTTAATTTTTAAATACATATTTTAATTATTTCTTTAAAATAAGATTGTTAATAATAATGAAGTAATTATTAATATTATTCGATGATCATAAAACTTTTATTTTGTTTAAATTTAAATATATTATCAGAAAGTTATAACGCTAATCTTATTCTATTTATTGAACTGAAATTTGCAAATTGAAAATTTTGAAGTGTTCCTAAATCTATCAGTATAAGTTTTTATCAGTTTTATAGTAAAAGAATTATCTTAAGTTATTGTAAAAGTTTATATAATTAATAAAAATGATATTGAAATCAGTTATATTAATTGGTGGTCCATCAAAAGGTCTGTATTTTATGTAATATAAATATATATAATTATTATATATAATTATTATTTTTGTACAAAAATATAACCTCAAATATAATTTTATAAATTCTTATAATTATATAATAATATTAAAAATTAATTTATAATAAGTATTTATAATAAGTAGAAATAATTCATTTAATGATGTTTCAAAATCAAAAATATATTTTGCAGGTACTAGATTTAGACCTCTTTCGTTAGATATACCAAAACCATTATTTCCAGTTGCTGGATTACCAGTAATACAGCATCATATAGAAGCATGTTCTAAAGTAGATAATCTTAGTGAAATATTGATAATTGGATCATATCTTGCAAGTGATTTATCTCAATTTATTGAGGAAATGATAAGCACCTACAAAATAACTATTAGATATCTTCAAGAATTTACACCATTGGGAACAGCTGGAGGTTTATATCATTTTCGTGATCAAATACGTTCTGGTGGACCAACATATTTTTTTGTAATGAATGGTGATGTATGTGCTGATTTTTCTTTGCAAGAAATAGTAGAATATCATAAAGAAAAACAAGCATTATTCACTATCATGGCTACTGAAGCAACAAGACAACAATCTTTGAATTATGGTTGCATGGTTCTTGATAAAGAAGGAAAAGTTGCTCATTATGTAGAAAAACCATCAACATTTGTTTCAACTTTAATTAATTGTGGGATCTATCTTGCTTCATTAGATATCTTTCAAACTATGGCTGATGCTTTTTATGCAGGACAAAATCAAGAGAATTTTATGTAAGATATTTAGAAATTTTTATGTAAGATATTTTAGAAATGTTATTAAAAAATTATATAACATAAAAGATTTTGATTATACATTATTTAATAGCCAATTCAATGGTAATGGTAAAGATCCAGCTCATATATCTCTTGAACAAGATATATTAATGCGCTTAGCTGGAACAGGTCGTTTATTTGCTTTACCTGTTTTAAAATGGTGGTCACAAGTTAAAACTGCAGGTTCTGCTATATATGCCAATCGTCATTATTTAGCTTTATATAAAGCAAAACATCCAAATCGTCTTGCTTCTGCAGTTAATGGACCTTGTCAGATTATTGGTGATATTTATATTCATCCTTCTGCTTCTGTTCATCCAACTGCAGTGGTAAAAAAGCCATAATTATATATTTTTTGTATAAAAATAATTAAATTTGTATAAAAATAATTAAATAATTTTGTAAGACAATAATTGATTTACAGCTAGGTCCAAATGTAAGCATAGGTCCAAATGCTATCATTGCTCGAGGTGTTAGGATAAGGGAATCAATTATATTAGCTAATGCACACATTCAACCACATTCCATTGTTTTACACAGTATAGTAGGAAAGAGCAGTTATATAGGAGAATGGGCAAGAATAGAAGGAACACCTTGTGATCCTAATCCTGATAAACCATTTGCAAAAATGGAAAATTTACCTCTTTTTAATACTAATGGAAAACTGAATCCTTCTATAACAATACTTGGTAAATAATTTATTAATTGATAATTCATTAAACAATTACTTAAACAAAGGAAAAAAAAATCTTATATATATATATATATATTTTTACTTTTTATATTTCAGGTACTAGTGTACGTTTGGCAGCAGAAAAAATCGTATTAAATTCTATTGTTTTACCGCACAAAGAACTGACTAGAAATTTTAAAAATGAAATTATTCTTTAAGATATATCTTAAATTATACAATATAATTCAAAATAATACATTTCTATTAATTTATTTATATATAATTGTATATATATTAATTTATATATACAATTCTTCTATCATATGGTTTTATTTTATAAATTTGTCAATTTAAAATAGTAACTTAAGCACAAAAATTATTTAAGAAACTGGTATTAATATAGATATAAATATTTTTTTAATAATTGTATTATTTTCAATTGTTGGTTTATATATTAATATAAATATATGAATATACCATGTATAAAAAGAAAAAAAAATATATCTATTTTCAACATTTCTTACTTATATATTTATTTCTCTATTTACATTTTTATAACTTAAATTTGTAAATTAACTAAAAAAAACTAAAAAACTATTAGTAATTAATGATAAATATTTTTTATATGGAAATATATTTATCAAGAAAAATGTTGAAATAATTTAAATAATATTTTGTAAGAGTATATAATATATATTATATTATTATAATTTAAGTATAGTAATTCCTTAAATAATATATCATATAATTTTTTAATTGGCAGTTTTATTCCCATTTAAAAGGAAGAGTGCATAATTCGATATGTATGCTTCTGAAATTTATTGGCATTTAAATATAATTTAGAGAAAAATTTAATTTTTATAATTGTTTTTTTTTTTTATAAAAATTGTTTCATCATTCATGATTTTATTGATAAAAATAAGATCAAATATATATATTATACACATGATTATTTGCGTTTTGAATTTGTACATAATATTACCATCATCATTTACAAGAAACAAATATAATAGTATTAAGTAAGATTTATGTTTAACTCTATTGTATATACAAATATTATTTAGTTAATATTTAAATTTAGAAGTATTGACATAAGAAAATTAAAAAATACGCATGTATATAACAAATAATTTTATAAAAATATATCATATACACAGTCTTTTCTTGCTTTAAACTTTTGATTGGCTATTATACAATTCTTAAAGTATTATATCAATAAAAACAAGCTTTAAAGCTTTGTTTCATGTTTAACCCTGTTTCTAAACAATTGACTTGGTCGAAGTAATTGAGAATTATTTAAATAAGAATTTCCAGATATGATAACAGCTGCTGTAGAATCTGAATTTAAAAATTCGTTTTTATTATCTTCAAAAGTAAATCGTTGCTGCTGTTGTGTTTCACCATGATTATTAGATCCATGATTGTTTTTTATACGATAATGTATTTCAGAATCTGTCTCTTCTTCATTATCTGCACTATCTACATCTCCTAAAAAAATATTAAACATTTAAGTATATTTTTTTATAAAATTTAAAATAAAATAATAAATCGTAATAAATTTTTATATAATATTTAAAACAATAATTTATTCAAATTATAATAAATTTAAATAAAACTCACCATCTGAACTATTAGTAGAAGGTAAGTAAAAACGCGAAGCTGAAATTTTGTTATTTCCTACTCGTCGTTCACGTTCTCTGGCAGTGTTATTTGGATGATGATATTTAAACTCACGGGGTAGAGTATAGCTTCGAGGCAATGATATTTGACTACCTTCCATGTCACTAAGTTCTCCTTCTATCTCCCCTTCACCTTTAGAACTTTCTTCTCCACCGTTTTGACTTAAATAATAATAATAGTAATCATAATATTATAAATATAATAATAAAATTATTATTATAATACAATAATACAACATATACATATAAATAAATATAGATAAATATATATTTATGTATTTTTTTTTAAATTTATCTGTTGATATTTTAATAATTTTTTTAATTTTAAGAAATGAAGTTCATTAGATTTTTTTAAATCTTAATTACCGAGGATTAACATGAGAAGGTGTCCAATGTGAATAGTGATGAGGAAGACATCTGGGTGCAAGTAAAATTTCTGGAGTATCCGCTCTTTCTCTTTGTGTTGTTCTCCAGGAATTTGAAGGATGAATATTTGGATAATAGGAAGAAGATGGTGGCGGAGGTAAGAGACAATGCATTTTCACAGGTGGCCACGAAGATAAGTTTATTCCTCCATTTTGATCACCTACTGATGGTTCAGATGTAAACAAAGGAGAGCTAGGAGAAGTGTGTAACTTTGTATTAGGAGGTGGTTGCTGAGTTGATGCAGGTGATGATGAGAATGACGATGCCGAAGCCGAAGGTGGAGGAAATAATTTTCCTTCTTTTATTTCTTCTTGTATAGCTCTTAACTCGCGTAATTGTTGTTGCTTTTTTTCTTGAAGTTTTTCCCTTATTAAATTTACATTTAAAGAACTGGCAGTTCCAGAATCCGTTCCAATTTTTTGTTCATTCATATGACTATTCTACAAAATACCATTCTTCTCAAAATAATGAATATTAATGTAAAGAAAAAATATGAATATATAAAATTGGAATAAAAATCAATTTTATGTAATATTATTTTTGTTTCTTTTTTTCTTTTATAATAAAACAAAAAATTCAATATTACCTGTATTACATTGGAATTCACGGATTTTTTCCAAAATGGTATTAATTGACGTGAATTATTATTTATACCATGCCATTGTTTTGACTCATCCAGTGTATTTATAGGAGCTGTAACAGTTCCAGATTGAGATTGCGGTGGCGGAAGAGGTACAAATGTTGTTGGTTTTTTCTTTTTACGATTTGGATTTACTACAGTTGGATTAGCAAAACGACAATTGAATACTCCTGGTATCCCACCATTACTTAATTTAACTCTTCTCACTCCAACATTCATATTTAATTTTTTATTCTCTGTATATTCAATTTGTTTTTCTTCTAGATTATCCTATAAATATGATTTTATTAAAAATATTTGTTCTATCTATATATATTTTTTAAAATTTCATTTTAATTTTTAATACTATACTTGGTTTGATAAAGCTGTGAGATTTGAGGCCGTCATTCTACCGCCAGCTTCGTACCTTAATCTTCGTACATGAAAAAATCTAAAATATCATTTTAAATTATTAATATTTATTATTATTATTAACAATTATTGCTATTAAACCATTATATATTCATTTATATATATTTTCATTATATATATATATATATATATAT